GAGGTCTTTTCCAACCTTGATGATTCTATCTCCTGGAACAGCTCTTGCTTCAGCTGCTTTTGCGACTGATCCCAGAACAGGTACTGGTGTCGTGACACACTTGAGCTGTCCCTGCTGTCCTCAGCTGTGTGCCCTTGGGAGAGTGACCCTGCTGCCACCCCTGTGCCAGCCCCATCCAGCCCAGGAGTGGCTCTTCTTCCACCTCTGCCACCTCCCCAGTGTGACAGACTGACTGCCCGTGCCCCAGCTCCCGCCAGGCAGCATCTTCCCAGGGCCACTTCACAGCCCCTTGTCAGGGGACTTTGACACATAACCCTGTGCTAAGTACAGGTGTTACCAATATCTCCCTGTCAAACCAGACACACTGAGAGCAGTCCCAGCCCAACCCTCTGGATTGCTTCCTCTGGTGACTCTTTACAGCCAAGAAAGCAAGTTTTCAGCCTCAGCTTCACCTTGAAGGCTATGTTCCCTGCCTTCCTGCACTGCAATGCTCAGCTGGAGCCAGGCAGGCTGGGACCAGCCCAGCCAGGAGTTGTCTGTCTCTCAGTAGTTTAACCCAGGCAGCAGCGTGGGTCAGAAGAGGGTTTCCCAGGGCCCACCAGAGGCAATGTCTGCTCTGTGTCCAGGCAGCCCTGGCGCCCGCATTTACCACCGCTGTAAGGCCGTGGGGTCATGAGAACTTGTACAACTTTATTGGGGTCTGACAGAGCCCTGAGGAATCCCAGAGCCAGGGTGGGTTGGGGCTGGAGGGAGGCTGGGAACTCACCTCTGCGCTCCCCACGGGCTCCCACCACCTCCTCCCACCCGCTGCAGAGGGGCTGGGTGGCCAGAAAGCTTGGGGTACCCCAGGGTGCTGGCAGAGGAGGGGCAGGGCCTGTGGTTTGGCAGGACAGTGCCCTTGCCTCCCTGTCTCCCACTGAGCAGGGCTGGCAAAAGCTCCCACGGACTGAGACCCAGTGCCGTGCGTGGGGTCCCTGAGATAGGAGCAGCTCAGGAGCCCACTAGCCTCCAGCTGAAGGTACAGGGCAGACATGCTGGAGGGGTGTCCCCTTCTTGCTCTGGGGGAGATAATGCTTCCCCCCACCCTGAGCTTCCCTCCAGCAAGAATAAGCAACTTGGCCCTCAGCCCTGCACTTAACCCACAGGAGCGCAGGCATCTCCAGTTACCCCAGGAAGGCGGCTGGGGGCTCCTGAGATGCTCCTGGCATGGCAAACGCAGGCTGCCTGAAATAGCTTGGGCTTGTGCCACAGCAGAGCTGTGGCGGCCCTGGATCTATCACCCGGAACAGGGCCAGGCTGGCAGCGCTGCCTGGCTCTGCCTGCTCGGGGCCACCCAAGACCCCCCACCAGCAGCAGGACAGGGCTTGAGGGGCAGCTGGACATGGGAAGGCAAGGCAGCAAACTCCTGCCTGCACCGGATGTTGCCTGGGATCCTGCTGGGAGGTGAAAGGAAAAGGGGTTGTCTCCCAAACCCTGCCAGGCTGTGTAGCTTCCTTGCTGGAAAGCCAAAAATAGTCCCTTTACTCAGAAGAGGCTGTAGGAGGGTTCTCACCCGAAGCACAGCCAAATATCGAGGAGGCTGTAGGACAGACCCAAGAGCAGCATGGCTTCGCCAAAGCATTATCAGACCTTGGAAAGGCAGCAGCCGTAGCTGAACCAGCCAATAACTGTGTTACCTCTGGGTACCTCATGATTCCAAAGGTGCCAGAGGAACTGGCCCAGCAGAGCTGGGGAGCAGCTGCATGCTGTCACGGCCAGCCCTCAGTCTGTGGCAGGGGTTCAGCTCAGGGGATGGAGATGGCAGCAGGACAGGGGATTTTTTCCAGTCTTTCATGGCCTGGCCCAAAGGATATCTGGAAACCCCCTGGGCGGCTCTGCCACCCCTGCAGTGCCAGACCCCTCACAGGCAGCCCCGTCTTCTGCAGGGCTGCTGCTGCCTGCACTGGGCAGCACCCGGCTGCTGCTGGGTAAGCTGGCAGAGTGCCGGGAGGCCAGAACGGCCATTCCCTGCCAGGGGAGTGCACAGGCCAGTCGCTCACATGGCAGCATCTCTGTGCTGTGCTGACTTATCATCTCCCCATTCCCAGGGCGTCTCACTCCCTCCTCCAGCACTTCTGCAGGCAGTTAAGTCCTGGAAACCTCCTGGAGTCACCTTCAATCATGCCTTCGCTCACTGGCATTTATAGAGCTTCTTCCAGCAGCTGAAGGATTTAATAGTGTGAATCTCTCCCCAGCCCCAGCCCGTGTTTATGCATTTTGCTCTGCAGGGCCTCACTGCCCCGGTGCATGGTGAGGGCTAAAGGCAAAGCTGCAGCTCTGCTGCCAACAGCTTTCAGCTTCTGGGCAGGGAGACCTGTCCTGGCAGAGCCCAGTTGTACCCGTCTTCTATCTAACGCCCTGCCCACCAAGTTAATCCTCCCCTGGTCTCTCCCAGACATTTCTGCTTCTCGGATTTCTCCCTCTTGGGCGGAGGAGCCGCAGGACTGCCAAATATTGCAATACTCAGGCTATTTCTTAAAGCCCCAGCTCCTGAAATGGTGGGAAAACGGAAGGCTCCCGCCTTCCAGTTGCTTTTGTTTCTTTAAGGAGCTTCTCATCCTCCTCCTTGTGCAAAAAAAAGCAGGGACCAGGAGCCTGCAGCCCATGCCAGGAAACAGGATGGGCACACAACCCAGGTGGACCTGGGCTGTGAAGCAGTGGCTGTGGCCGCTGTGCCCAGGGAGACCCAGACCTGCCAGGAAGCCACCAAAAACCCCACAGGTGGTCACTTGGCATCTGTCACCCACCATCAGGAACCAGGGACAAGAGAGATGCTTAAGGGAAAGGTGGAGCCAGAGCTGGGATGGGGTTTGAGCAGGGTATCGAGCACCCAGTCCTGCAGTGTAGGGGTCCCTGCCCTCCAGCACCCCAACAGTGCTGGGGCCCAATGCCCCTGAGGACTGCGCATCCCCCCTGTTCACCCAGCAGCCTGTCTAGCCACAGGAAAACCCCTCTTTCCACTGACCAAAGCCCACCCCAGCAGCTCTCCGCACATGCTGCGCCAGGCTGGTGGACCCTCTGGACCAGCCTCGAGCTGACCCAGATGCTCACTGGCCCCAGATACCATGGATGGCCGTGAACAAAAACTATGGGAGCGTCCCATGAGAGCCAGGTGTCACCCACGGGCACCCAGTTCAAGGAACCAAGAGGTCTGCTCTGGGAAGGTCCGTGCAGCCAAGTGATACTTCGGTGCTCAGCATGCGACCCATCAAGGCTGGCTCGCAGATCCAGAGCTGGGTGGGACCCTAAGTATCAAGACAGCTATCAAAATGGTAGAAAACTCAACCTATTCTATTACTTAACATTAGCTTAGACAAAATATTAGCATTTTGAGCAAGTGTGTTGACAGAGTTTTAAGACACCCAACAAGGCACAGACTAGTTACTCAGTCAAAATGAGGAGGCAAAAGCCCTGCTGAGCCCCTAATCTTCCATGCGAGGTGCGCAAAGCCCTGCAGCCTCACCCAGTTCCAAAATTCCTGTGCCATACCCAAATCACACAATCCAGGACCCTCCTGCCATCGCCCCTATTTGGAGCAGTTGGGAGGCATCCTGAGGACCCCTGGTCAGACAGGCAATGTGGGACAGCCTGGCCAAGAAGCACAAACCTCAACTTCTCCAGTGGGGTCACAGCCCCTGCCAGCAGTAGGTGATGGGCTGTGCCATGAGCTGAAGGGGATGGGGACCACCCTCGTCCCTGCACATTGGCAGTGTGGCTGGGCGAGGCAGGCCCCCTGCTCCCACCGCCACCCCCAGACGCCATCTCCCTTCCCCCTACAGCACCCATCAAAAGAGCTCAGCACCAGGCACAGTCAGAAAGGCGTGATGCTGGGAGCTGGGCCTTGGGGAGTAAGCAGGGGACATGACGATAGAGCAGAACTGTTTTTATTGGAGGTGTCAAGAGCAGGAACAACAAACCTACAGGCTCCCATCCTCAAGTGCCATCCTCCCTCCCCACCACCACCGGGGCAGTCAGCATCACGTGTGCGTGCTTACAAGACAACGGCAAGGCTTACACTTTGTTTCAGCCAAAAGCCAGACAAAGCCCCGAACAGCCCGGGCAGTGCCACTGCCCCCTCCTTGGCAACTGCGAGCTCAGCTTGGCCCTGCCAGCGGCAGGGCAGGATATTCACCTTCCCCTCCAAGGAGGGGTGAGCTTTGTGTGAGAGGTTTCAGTTAAGGGAAGGACAGGAGCACTGCTCCACTGAAGTGCCACGGGACATGACTGGGGCTGCAGCTCCCAGCGGGACATCTCGGAGGCCCTTGGGAAAGAGCAAGCTGTGCAGCCTGAGCAGAGCTGCAGCAACCACACCCAAGAAATGGTATCACTAAGCCCCAAAGGGCTTCGCTGCCCCCTCTTCTGAACACAAACCAAACCGAAAGGGAGAGGGATCAGATGACAAACCAGGAGGGGAGGTGAAGTAGGTCTGGAAGGGCGTCCGGCTCTGGCTCACTTCCCAGCCCGCCGCTCCTCCTGGCGCTTGGTGAGGATGTATTTGAAGAACTCATACACAGACCAGGCAATCGCCGTTGAAGGCATCTGATAAATGACTCTTGCCTGGACCCCTCTGAAATAGGCGGTCACACCACCCACTTGGTACACCGTCCTGAAGGCATTGGCCATGCCTGTGATGTGTCCGCTGATGTTGGAGCTCAAGGCCAGGGACTCCTGGGTGTTGAGCAGTGTTTTGCAAACGTCCAAAGGCGTAGTGGCAGCAGCAGCGACAGCCCCCGCGCAGGCTCCGGAGACCACATGGGAGCCTGGGTTATACTGTCTGTGGGGGTTGAGCTGCTCTTGCAAGAACTCGTAAGTCATGAAGTGAATGGCTTGGAAGGGGATGTTCATGGTGAGCTGGGTGGTGTAGCTGCGGTAGAAAGCTCCGGCCCCTTCGTTGCGCCACACAGCCCGTACACAGTCCGTCACACGCTGGTAAGGCGAGTTGTACATCTGCATCCTCTGTTTGACCACTTGAGATGGACGGCGGCAGCCAGCAGCACCAGTCAGGACCCAGGTGTGCACGGGAAGAGGAAACAAAAAGGGTAAGTGCGAAGCCAGGCTTCCTGTGAGCACCCAGAGTTTAGTCACGCTGGCTTAGAGCTAATGATGGACAGCTTGGACTAGCAGCGCCACCAGCATAGCAGGCCAGCAGCCATTAAGATCAGGGTCACACACACATTGTCACCTGCAAACCCCACAGCTGCCACAGCCCCAGGGAACATCCTGATACCCAGGCGCCTATGCTCCAGATCCACCCTTGCTCCTGATGTCTCCCCATCCACTGCCACAGAGCAGAGGAAACCCCTCTGCGTCTATTCTCTTATTTTCTAGGTGACTCTTGATCTGGGTGAGCCTGCCCCTCCCCAGACGCCCCCACTGCAGCCGAAAATAATCACAGCACGTCACAGAGCCTACCAGCCAGGAATTGTTAGCCGCCCTGCCGAAACACAGCCGCACCGGGGCAAGAACCAGACACAAACCCTGCCCCAACACACCCCATGGCGGTGCAGGGGACCCCAGAGTGCAACCTGCCGCTGTCCTGCCTCCCCTGACCTCAGGAGCTAAAAACGCTGTAACTACAAACTACTGCAGTCGTGATAGGAAGACAAGCTCCAGGGAAGGCATGACAGCGGTCTGGCTGTGCAGCAGACTGCTCCTCAGGGTCCCGGCCAGGCAGCGGGTGGGCAGGAGCCTTGCCCAGCCCCGATCATCTGAAGCCTGCACTGTCACAAGCTCTCCAGTTTTAAGGGTAAAAAACACAGTTCATAACTGGTCTTCCCTCGTTATTCCTCCTTCTCCCACATCCACAGGCTTGAATCACAAACTCCCTCTGCCTTTTTCACATATTCCAGGCTCACCAAAATCAGTATCTGACAGACATTTCACAAGATCTTCCTTCTCCTGACTTTTCTAGAATGCCTTTAGTACCCCATTTTTTTCATTTTCTTCCTGAGCACAGGCCTAGACCCTACCACATCTTCCCAAGATGTCACCACAGCAATGCCCAATTTCCACATGCCTGGAATTACTTCAGCAATACAGATCGCATCTCTCTTGCCTTCTCTCCTACTCCAGGTAACTGTCCCCAGCCAAGCCCTGGGCAAAAGGCCGGTGACCTCCTGGCTCCTCCTAAGCTGTTGTTTGCTGCACTCCCCAGAATTAATCTCTTCTACCTACCCTCTCCGTAACAGGCAGCTACCGGGCTCCATAATTGGAGCCACAGCCACTGGCCCCTAAAGGATCCTTGCAGTCGGGCAAGCAATGAGGAGAGCACCCTGCGTGTCAGAGGGGACACGACTGGCCCAGCCAGCCCCTGATCCTCCCCTCCCTGGCAGGCCAGGACCATCATTACCTTCAGCAGGGTTCATGGCTGCATCATGGAGCAACGTTGCTACACACCCGGCTGCACCTGCAAAACAAGAACTGCCACATGTGAGGAGGGGGGAAGTGAGGGACCCTGGGGCTCCACCACAGCCCCGAGTCCCCCACCAAGGCACAGGAGGAGGCCCCTGGAAAAGGGTGGGAACTGAAGGCGGTCTCCATCTCTCCTCCAAGAGGAGGGCTGGTCCCCAGCGGTTTCCATCCAGAGAGAACTCAAGAAACAGGACGAGAGGATTTCAACAGGCTCCCAAGTCCTGCAGGCCAAGGGGGGCTCGCTCAGGGGACAGGCTGATGCCACCAGCTGGCAGGCAACCAGAGGACAGCAAGTGTCCCCATGCCCCATGCAGAAGAAAGAACCAGACAGC